AAGTAAGATTTCCTGGAGGTCAATATTTCTGAAAATACTTTGTCTCTCAAGGGGGAGTACCTGCAAAGTACTGCTTAACAAAGAGCGAGGGGAAAATAACCAAACTTTAACATCAAAAAGGAGACATATACAGAAGTCTATTTGAGTCCTATGTATACACATAGGATGGTAAAAGAGCTAGGTCATTAATGGCAATACAGCACTTTGCAGTTGTTATCTGGAAGGTCTTCAAAAGGCAGACTACAAACTCCCAGGTTAAAATAGCACCTCAGGGTGACAAGGAGGGCAGGAGAATAACATAGCCTCTTACAGCAAGTATATGAAAATTCACAAGTTGTTTCTTCCAACAGAGGTGTCAAGACTCGTGTAGTATGAGATTCTACCAAATGAGCGCTAGAATTGGAGGGCGAAAATAATGAAAGGATACAAAAGCAATATCTGTTTTCCTTAATCAAAGAACAATTTCATCAAACATCAACTGAGTATGTAACAGTGTAAGAAAAGTATAAATGGCTAGATACAAAATGCACGGTCAATACTATTCTGTGCCTTTACAACACTGTCAGATATGCCATATTCTGAGGAAGAGGAACTGCAAACATTTCAGATCAAATCCCACCTATGCCCAGATCATGTGGGAGAGACCTCACACTGGCCTCCTATTCTAAACTGCCGCCATCACTGTTCCATGGGTATGAGGGAAACCAATGGGTGCTGGATGTGCAGAATAGCTAAGCAGGTGAGGAGGGCAATCGGAAAAAGTTCTGAAGAAGCAATGTTAACTCCATGGAACTTGTTACAGGGCAATTCTTTTAGGTTCAAATGCACCTTAAATGAGTTCAAAGGCCTAATCTGCTGCCTCCTTAAGGTGAAAATAATCTTTTTGCCAAGACCATAGGTCCAAAACTTCTGAACTCTTGCAATAAAAAAGCACAGTGTAGTTCCTCTTACCTGCCCTTTTTCTAGAATCATTTTAGAGATGCCTCTAAGGAGATAACCTTCCTGAATCCATTTTGGTCTCAATTCAATTTCTATTCTGCTGCTGTCACCCAACCAGCTCAAGACCAAGAATGAGAAGTGGAATTAAGACTCTGGGCAACTGAAATTGCACGTTGCAACAAAAAAAATTGTTGTTTTCAAAGTTGGCTAATCATTTCTATTTCCTGAAGTAGTATATTTTTGAAAGCTTTGCTTCTCTGATGATGTGATCCCACTAAGCCTGCATGACAGTTTGAGAGCAGAGTCTAATAAGGCGTCAAACAGAAAGCAACTTAACTTCATCCTTTCAAATTTTTATCAATGTGGTGGTGAAAACCACAATTTCTGCACACACACACTCTAATAATATCACACATAGGAACAAGAAAAGCATGAATGCAAACAATTAAGTTGCCCAGAAGTCCAGTTCAAGTTAAGATTAGAACATTTTCAAAATGCAAAATTAGATGACCATGAGTATTATCCTGAGTTATTTTAAATTCAATAGCAGATATGAACCAACAGTCAGATTCAACACACCCAGGAAGGTCACAGACCCTGATTGCCTTGGGCAATCTAAACATTTGAGGTTGTGCTTTAAAAAACTGTCCTGTAATGAATGGTGTGCACTTCCTGTTGTGCAGCTGCACATAAGGTGAAGCATGAAAGCCAACAAGGAGCCATTATTGTTACTTTAATTTGGCTTCTGGGTACCACCTTAGGAGAGGCACCACTAGGCTTCACAGTGAAAAACACAAAGCCTCTCCAGCATATTCACACACATTTACAACATAACTCGATTCAAACACTAGTGAATAAACACCTACCAGAATGTGGTGAATATTACTGATGAGGTAATGGGGAAAAGAGTCTAACAGTCTGCATAGTTCTGTGTATCCTCTGAGTTTTCTCAACTAAGAATTTTAATTTTTAAGTGAAAGCAAAACTTGAATATTCCAAAAATCTTTGCCCCTCCCCCAAAAAGATTGATAGCTTATCAACTATATTAAATTGGACCAAATAGAGATGTTAATTACTATAAAATAAGGCTCGGTGCTTCAGGGTCATGGCACCTCCATGGACGTTGAAGCAATTCCGGAGGCTGATACATCCCTAGAGTGGTGCGCTCGTTCCTGGGATCCATGCCCACAGTCCACGCCCCAGGTGGGCGAGTCAGGACTAATGCAGACCATGCCCAGCCAGGCTGCCCATCCTGTCCCATCCCCTCCCGCAGTCACCACCCTGGCCTGTGGCAGGTGCAGGATAGCTCCTGACCAGGACAGCTGCCACCTTCAGCTTCCCAAATCAAACCAAGGGCAGATGCAGCTTGGCCCAGCTTCTGCACTCAGTTTTAGTATAGCCCTCAGCTTGAACCTATGCATGAAATCTCTTATGCATTGTTACCCGTCCCCAGCCACAGAAGGGCTACAGGAACTTGGCAATGGAAGCATCCC